CCTTAGCCACTTGAGCCACAGGCACGGAGCCAAGACACCAACTCTTAACATGCTCTGTAACTTCACACCATTCTGTTCAAGTTAGTTATTATTTTTGCTTTTCATTGCCAGCCTTTGCAAGGCAAACAGTGTGTGGACAGATGATAGATTCTCCATTACCTATAAAGAGCCAGTTCCTCGTATAAACAGCCTTACTCTGACTGGCAAGTAAACAAACCTCAGCCACACCCACCTGACAGGAAGAGAGAGAAATGGCTCAAAATGCTTTCGCAGCCTGGTGAGTCAAACTCAGGTCCCAGAGTTGGCAGACAGGAGCCTGTGAGGGTCCTGGGCTGCTGGAGGGCTGAGCAGCCAGCATTACACATTCTGAGGGCTGATGGAGATGAAGTGCACCTTGTCAGGGAGAAGAGACTGGCAGAGGACAAAGCTAGTCTGGGCACAGCTATACCAGCAGGGACTGTTTGCTCTTGCCTTGCCCTGGGCATGGGCTCCTTGGCCAGACTGTGAGGGCCATTCTCACCTCTCAGCTCCCAGGCCTTCGCCCTCACCACTCTCCATTGCTCCCGGCATCTTCTGCTCCTGGCCTTCTCATTTCCTCTGCCCTCTTGATTTCCCTGCTTGAGCCCTTCCTACTGGCATTTTCTATGCACTGTTATTGGTTATTATTTTAATTGTATGATATTCATGTAATGAGCACACCTGTACAATAACAAAATATGACAATTTATATACTTTAATTTTATTATTTTCATCCTATCCACAATCTTGAAAGGCAGATAGTTATATCCCATTTTTACGAAAGAGAAAACCAAAGTCCAGGGAGATTAGGTAACGGGCCATATGCCAAGCAATGAGGAAGTGACATACAAGGTGTTCTGATCCCCGGGGTCCAAGCCCTCAGCCTCTGTTGCCTTCAAGACCTCAACCATTCTCACCCTCCTTTTTCTCTCCCTCTGGTTCATGTCACACCTCCTCACTGCCTTGCTCCAGGGCCATATATGGATCCTTCTTTCTGCAGGCCTTTACCAAAAGCATTAACCAAGACAAGCACTTGGCAGTGGCTTACTTCCAACGAGGGATGCTCTACTACCGGACAGAGAAGTAAGTGATCCAGTGTGAGAGAGAACCTCTCACTGGGGAGGGAAGGCAGGCCTGCCACCAAATGATAAGTCTGTTGTGTCATACTGACAATGAGCCTACGTAACCACCACGGGCCTGAGACTCATTCTCATGGGGACATCCATGATAGTCTGCTGCCAGGAGGACTGAGCGGTTACAGAACAAGGATTATCATGAAGCTGCATGAAAATCTGGCTTCATTACAACAAAATGTAATCAAAAGCCTGATTTAAGGCATTCAATGAAATATAATTCAGCCACAAAAATGAAAACATGAATTAATATTACATACAAATAAATTAATACAGAACAATAAATAGATGTATATTGATTACAAAAAAGTTCACAGTAGATATTAAATTTTAGAACCAGATTTCAAAACAGTGCGTATACCACAATCTCATTTCTGTTTCACAGATAAAGTCTGGAAGGCCACAGACCCAACTGTTAACAGTAAATCTCTCGGGCCAGGTGCGATGGCTCACACCTATAATCCTAGCACTCTGGGAGGCCAAGGTGGGTGGATTGCTTGAGCTCATGTGTTTAAGACCAGCCTGAGCAAGAGCAAGACCCCATCTCTAAAAATACCCAGGCATTGTGGTGGGCACCTGTAGTCCCAGCTACATGGGCGGCTAAGCCAAGAGAATCACTGGAACCCACAAGTTTGAGGTTGCTGTGAGCTGTGACGCCATGACATCCTACTAACAGTGACAATGTGAGACTCTGTCTCAAAAAAAAGAAGTAAATCTCTGAGCGGTAGGATCATAGGGAAGTCATTTTCTTCCATGACCCTATCTGCAGGTTTTTTCATGTGTTTATAGTCAACATGAAATAATTAGTAAAATGATAAATGAATACAAAATAAAAGTTAATCTCAATTCCTACTTCCCCCATCTCCCACAGGTAACCTCATAACAAATATAAAAATGACAAAGGAAAAAATTCTAAATGCTAATTTCAAATGTTTTGGGAGATGGCAAGCTGTCCCTTTGTAGAAGTTATTCCATCAGTCTTTGGCTCAGGCTAGCAAAGAACTTTCTTTGTAACAGTGAAAATGGTATAAACATGGTGTGGATGTGGGTGGGTGAGGTAGGGCACTGATGGAGCAGTCAAGGGCAGGAGGAGGCCTGCAGGGGTGTCCAGAAGTCAGGGAGGGGGATGGGGTCCCATCCTGTACCACCTTGAAGGGCCTTGGTCCTATGGGTTGGTCAGCACCAGAGCCTGTAAGACCCAGGTGCTCAACTGTTGCTAGAAAGAACAAGCAGCTCAGAGGACTTTAAAGAGGTAGATGCAGTTAAGGATCTGAATGAGTTCCCAAAAGAAAAACCAGTCACAGGTGAGATGTGGGGAGAGCCTGGGATTGAGAGGAGATATCCAGGCATTTGCCTGTACTGACATCATGCCTCTGCCTGTTACCCTTCTTAACATTCTTCTCGTTCCTCTCCCTCAACCCTCCGTGTTCTGCACGTGTATAGGCTATGCAAAGAGGCCCAGCAGAAATCCTCCAGCTGATCTTAACTCTCAAAAGACAAACTCAAAAGCCATTTCTTTAATTGGGTCTAATGGCCTATAATGAGTAGAATAACTGGTAAAAGAAGGAAGGACCTCAGAAAGAAATTGCACACAAAAGTCCCCACAAGACCCAGGGCTTGGAGGTCTAAGTTTTTTTAGGGAGTTAGAAGGATTTGGGAAAGATCTAGGAACAAGATCCAGGATTCAGGCTTGGCACCTGTGGCTCAAGTGGCTAAGGCGCCAGCCACATACACCTAAGGTGGTGGGTTCGAATCCCCAGCCCAGCCCGCCAAACAACAATGATGGCTGCAACCAAAAAATGGCCGGGCGTTGTGGTGGGCACCTGTAGTCCCAGCTACTTGGGAGGCGGAGGCAGGAGACTCACTGGAACCCAGGAATTGGAGGTTGCTGTGAGCTGTGATGCCATGGCGCTGTACCCAAGGGGATAGCTTGAGGCTCTGTCTCAAAAAAAAAAAAAATCCAGGATTCAATTTATCAGTGATTTGAAATAATTAAATCTGAAAGGAAAAAAATCTACCAAATTTTATCTCTAACTCACCCCTCTAGTGAAGAAGTAATATAAAGGGGGCACCATTCTCCACCCCAAGCTGGCTTCTTTGCACAAACTCTAGGTATTAGAATTCTCCCTACAGTTCTATTCTTGACCCTTTGCCCTTTGATGACTATAGCAGTGATTGTTAAATGGCAAAATGTATGGACTTACTTCCCAGAAACACACATACATTCTTTTGTATACAATTCCAAGAGAATATGGACGTGACAGTCCATATATAAACTCTAAGGATCCATTTTTGGGCAAGGCCACCCTCTCCCTCACCACCAAGCTCCATTTCTAACCAGCCAGCTACTAAGTCTGTAGCCGGGACTGACCCAGAAAGTCTCTCTCCCTAAATCTTATCAGGTTGGCTTTAAAATGTCTCTTAAATCTACTTAATTCTCTCCACTCCCACTAGCATTGCCCTAATTCAGATCCTCACTTTACATCAGGGCTACTGCAATCACTTCTAAACTGTATTCCCAGCTACCAGTCTTGTCACCTCCATCCTAATTCCAGAGTAAATTTTTTTTTAAGAGACAGGGTCTCACTTTGTCACCCAGGCTGGAGTGCAGTGGCACAATCATACCTCACTGCAATCTCAAACTCCTGGCCTGGAATGATTCTCCCACTTCCACCTCCTGAGTACCTGGAACTATAGGTGTGCACCGCCATACCTAGGTAATTTTTACTCTTTTTTTTTTTTGTGGAAACGAGGTTTTGCCATATTGCCTGGGCTGGTCTCGAACGGTTCCCTGGCCTCCAACGGTTCTCCTGCCTTGGGCTCCCACAGTGCTTGGATTATAGGAATGATCCACTGTGCCCCACACAAAGGGATCTTAAAAAAATCAATGTGATCTGCTTAAGAATTTCCAGCAGCTCCTACTGTGACAAGGCAAAGGCCACGTTCCCTTGCCTGTTCCTACGTGGTCCAGCTGCCACCTAGTCATTCACTATCCTCTGTGCGGTCAGCCCAGCCACGTACAACTTAAGCAGCCACCACTCCCTCTTTTGTGTCTCTTTTTGTAACGTGTCTAGTCCAGATATTTGCTTACCATGTATATATGTCTCCTCTGAGTTTCTTAAGCAATCTTTACTTACACTTATTTAATGAAACAAAACTAAGAAAAATATAGTCTCTGCTTTAAGGAACTTATAAATTAAAAAGGGGAAACAAGTCAAGAATACCAGTAATTATAACGCAAGGCATAATTGGGCAAGTGCTGTAGGTGCTATTTATTTATTCAGTTATTTAGTTAGTTTAGAGATAGGCTCTCACTCCGTCACCCAGGCTAGAGAGCTGCAGGACTAACATAGCCCACTGTAACCTTGAATTTATGGGCTTAAGCAATCCTCCTGCCTCCTCTCCTAAGTAGCTAAGTCTATAGGCATAAGCCACTGTGCCCAGCTAACTTTTTTATTTTTTGAAGAAATGGGGGTCTTGCTATTTTGCCCAAGCTGGTCTCAGACTTACAGCCTCAAGTGAAAAGAAACTTCTGTTTCTGCCTTTCAAAGCACTGGGATTACTGTGATCAGCATTTTAGTTATATTTTTAAATAAGTCCCATGAGGACTTAGAGAAATTGCATTTTTTTTTTTTTTTGGTTGAGACAGAGTCTTACTCTGTTGCTCAGGCTGGTCTCAAACTACTAGTCTCACGTGATCCTCCTGCCTGGGCCTCCCAGAGTGCTAGGATTACAGGAGAAGCCAGGGCTCTGCCAGAGAAATTACTCCTTAACAAGTGGGGTCAGATTACAGTGGGAAGTGCTGCAGGGAAATAATGTTATGAATGATTTTTCCATGTCCCCTACTCTCTTATGTTGCTCTTCTGTCATTATAAATTTCCAAAAGAACAAAGTTAAAGTGTATTTCTGAGATGGCAAGGGGTGTCTTAGTGATGACCATGGACCAGCTCTGGCCCCACTTTTGTCATCCAAAAGGGGAGAAGAGAGCTCTAAATCATCTCTCAGACCCCAGGCCTTATGAGTCTCACTGTGCAGATAACGGTGAGACCTTGAAGGAACAACCTACAGAGCCAAGGCAGCAAAGCCCGCTGACCTGGACACAAGAAAGGGCATGGAGGCAAACTCCTACCAGACCCACCCCCCTGCAGCCAGAGCCCCCCTGCAGCAACCCAACTGTGTTTGACATTTGACTTTAAATTTGCAGAAACTCCAGGATTCTAGACTGTACCAGCCATTAATAGGGGCGTCAGCAGTTACTAAGAAACCTTTACAGGAGTATCACAAAAAGGGGGTGATTATAAACCTCTCAAGGTCAGAGCTGTGAAAAGCCAGGGCCAGGTTGCCTTCAGCTGGTAAACCCCTGCCTGGGAGGAGTGGGGGCCCTGGGCCCAGCACAGCAAAGGTGCCCCACGGGGTGTCACCAGAGTGTGGGTGTGAAGAATGCACTCAGCCCAGCAGTGCCGGGGGTGGGGGGAGCCCAGCACCTTGCCCATCTACCGGGGGTGCTTCCAAATGGCACCAAGAGAACTCTCCTCTTGAAGGGCATCAGGGAGGCGGGGGCTCCTGCTGCGCGCACCCACCCACACACTGGGCTGAATGCTATTTCTGAATTCTCATACTGAGCCTCTTCAACCCCACCCAGCTGGAAGGAGAGCTGTGTGTCAAAGTGGACCCCTCATGGGTAAACAAGCAGAGGAGTGGAGGAGATGCCTGTAGCAGGGAGTGACCTGCTGGAAGGCAGGTCGATGTTTCAAAGACTTGTTTTTAAAATGACACTTAGCACACACACCCCCACCTTGTTTTTTAAAAAATAATTAATTAATTTAGAGACAGACCCTGGAGGAAGGAGGCAGGGTTCATTATGCTGCCCAGACTGGCCTCAAACTTCTGGGCTCAAGCTCTCCTCCCAACTCAGCCTCCCTGGGCCACAGGCTGGTGCCATCACGCCAGGCCCCACCCCTGCCTGTTTTATTGTTTTTGGTTTGGGGGTTGTTTTTTGTTTGGGGGGGTTGTGGGTTTTTTTGGTTTGTTTTTTTGTTTTTAACAAAAAGCATGCACTGAATAATTTGTCAGTTCCGTCTCCTACCCGCTGGACCTAGATCTTTAGACATCTTGATGGGCTAGAGAGTTATGTAAGGGCAATTTTGCTGGGCTCAGGCAAGGCCGGGTAGACCCCGGCGGCGCTGGCACTTCCAGGCTGAAATCCATCTGCTTGGCCAGCTCAGCAGAGAGGAAGGCACTTTTGCAGGTGAATGCTGACAGCACTTAAAAGCAGCCCTCTGGGACTTTCTGCTGGCTCCCAAACGGGCAGGAGAGCACAGTGGAAACTGTAGCTGCCAGGGAACCGGACACCTGCGTCTGCCTCTCCTCAGTGGGGAAGGCTCAGTGGCTCAGCCAATCCAGCCAGTCACTGCACCCTCTGGCTGACACGGAAGGGCCACACGCTGCCTTTTTTCCCTTCCCAGGACCATCTCAAAGATGCGTGGAAGCCACTTAAAATGCCCACTGCTTATTAAGGAGTCATCTGCATGTTTCTAATAGGTTTTACAATTATCTCTATCAACAAGGAGGAGTCTAGAGAAAGCCAGCCTCCCACCTCAAAGGTGGGCAGGTCTTGCAGCCATCCTGTGTTCATGTTCTCAGGACTCTCTGGGCCAACCAGCCCTTGCTCTCAGCGCTAGCTTCCTGGGATCAGAGTTCTAGCTTCAGCACCAGCTATTTTTGAAATCTGATAATACCTTATATGGCACAGTGCTTTATGTAAGCACATAATAAATGATCGGTGTATGGATTTAATTGGTAGAGTTTTCGGGCTGAAAAAATAATAATTGTAACAGTAAATTACTGTGAGGGAGGCGCTGGCCTAGCCACCCAAATGCTTCAGCTCGTTTAGTTCTCACAACCTATGAGGTACATGCTATTATTATTTCCTTATTCTTGAGGAAGCAAATGTAGAGAAGTTAAATAACTTGCTTATCCTCACCAGACAGTAGTGGCAGAGCCGGGACTCAGGTCCAGGTGGTTTGGACTCCAGAAGTTGGATCCACAGACCAGCCAGCTCCTCATGTGCGTGTTTTTTTCTCTGTATATGTACAATCTCATGCTTTAATACTGACGTGCAGCCTGAGGCCTGGGAAGTGACTTGCTGGGGTCTTGAGGTTAGTGGCAGAGCTTCTGGATCTGGTTCCTGGCTCCTGGTCTATTTACCACCCCACTCAACCTCTTAAGGAGTCCTGTGGCCTGTGTCCAAATCCCAACTCAGTGGCTCCTGCCTATAATCTCAGCACTCTGGGAGGGAGGATCACTTGAGCTCAGGAGTTCCAGACCAGCCTGAGGAAGAGTGAGATGCCCTCTTTGCTGAAAATAAAAAATCTAGCCAGGCGTTGTGGTGGGCCCCTGTAGTCCTAGCTGCGTGGGAGGCTGAAACCAGAGGATCACTTGAGGCCGAGAGTTTGAGGTTGCCATGAGCTATGATGATGCCACAGCACTCTACTCAGGGCAATAGAGTGAGACTCTGTCCCTCACAAACCAAAAAAAAAAAAAAAAAAAAAAAGAAAGAAAAACCACAACAAATCCCAGACTTGTCTCCATGGAAGCCCAGATGGCAGCTCTGGGTCACAGAGTGGCGTAGGGACTTTTGGTCCAGTTGCCCAGGTGGCAGTCACAACCAGGCAGCCAGATTTGTTTCTTCCAGGCAGGGAGCTAGGTGGAGTAAAGGGTGGGTACCTTGTTTTTGCTGCCCCCATCCTTGCAGCCCAGCAAAGTCTCCCTCTTAACAGGGCCTCTGAAATAGGAGGAGACAAGACAGGACAAGACCTGGGTCAGCTTCCTCAGGAGCATATGTCCAGCCCCCGCCCACACCCCTGTGGTCAGCCCCCATTCTCTGCTGCAAATCTAAGGACGTACCCTGACAACCCTGAGCCTCTTGGTGCAACTCAGATCCAACGTGCCTGGGAGCAGCATTAGAAATGCTATCTATTGGCCTTAAACAGTAGGGTTTCTTTTTGTTTTATCCAAAGTGTGTGGAGGAGGCAGGAAGGGAGAGGAGACTAAGAAGGTCACAAAACCAAGATCTAAGTTAATCTCAAAAAAAGCCAGGGGAGAAGCTGTGTTCAGGAAGGCCAAGTTAGCAGCTGTGATTAGGGACCCCTGAGAGCTGTGCCGGGCTGGCCTGGCCTTCCGGTGGGGAGCCAGGAGCGAGCAGTACTCCAGATCAGCTCTGGAGGCTCAGCAGGGACACGGGGTGGGCAGGTGCTGGCTCTGCTGGGAGCTCTCAAGAGAGAACAAGGGCTGTATTTGAAAGCAACAAGCCGGGTTGTCAGAAAGGTAGGAGTTGTACACAATCAACAGAGAAGAAAATCCCTGTGGCTGCCTAGCACGGCCCCTGGGGGCACTGGGTTCATCCTGAGTTCTTTAGAATACTTAGCTCAGAGTTGTTGAACAACTCTAACAGGAAGATGGATGGAGAAGGGAGAATCGCTAATGGTGGGGTGTGGTCTGTAACTGTGGAACTGAGCAAGTTCATGGTGACACTCATTTCATTCTGCATTCATTCCCCTGCCCTAGTCTGGTTGATTTTCTCCCTCTGTCCTGCAGATATGATTTGGCCATTAAAGACCTTAAGGAGGCCTTGACTCAACTTCGAGGGAACCAGCTGATAGACTACAAGATCCTGGGGCTGCCATTCAAGCTGTTTGCCTGTGAGGTGAGACACCCAGGCCCCAGCCTGGGCAGGAGGGGCTGTGGCTGGACAGACAGCAACTGTTCAGGGACACAGTGGGCTGTTGACACCTTCAGGACCTTGGAAAGGTCATTTTTGCCTCCTATGCCTTGGAACTCAGGTGATCCCTTAAGATAAGACTACAATGGACGACTGGAGGCTCACCCCCGAGCCATCAGTTACTCACCGGCGTGCACTTTAATAATGTGAGGCTCAAAGGCAAAAATAAGCCCCTTGGGCTCTCAGAAGGAAGGCTGGACATGGGTATGTTGGCTTGTGAAAGTGTTCATGATAATTTTCTTTCTTTCTTTTTATTTATTATTTTTTTGAGACCGACAGAGTCTCCTCTGTTGCCCAGGTTAGAGTGCCCTGGCATCAGCCTAACTCATAGCAACCTCAAACTCTTGGGTTCAAGCCAGCCTCCTGCCTTAGCCTCCCACATAGCTGGGACTACAGGCGCCCAACAGCTAATTTTTCTATTTTTACTAGAGATGGAGTCTCACTCTTGCTCAAGCTGGTCTCGAACTCCTGAGCTCAAGTGATTCTCTCGCTTCAACCTTCCAGAGTGCTAGGATTATAGACGTGAGCCACTGTGCCTGGCTCATGTTAATTTTCATGTTTTGATTAACAATTCAGGCTGACGGGCTATTTGCCCAGCATTATACTAACAAATCCCAAATCATGAGTTTACTCCATGCAGGACCAGCCATAACCTTGCTCAGTTCCCAAGTTACAGACCACACTCCACTATTTGTAGTCCTTACTCCACGTACTTGGTTGATGCCCAATGAGCAAATGAGGAGAATTTGGCACAAATATGTCCCCTCTTGTTCAAAGAACAGCTCAAAACACAGGTTGGGGTAGAGGTTTCTATAAGAACAACCTTTTTTCCTGTATTATCAACAGGGAAAGACATGACTGGCTTAGACTTCAAAGGTTCATATACTTTCCCAATCAACCCTTCCCACCCTTCTCTCTCCCAAATATACATCAGTGGCTTCGAAGAGTAAAATTCCTGCAAATGTCACAGATCTTTCTTTAGAAGAATCACTGGAAAAAGTCCCCTTGCTTTAGTTTCTCAGGCACAAGAAGCCAAGTGTTCCCAGGGTCGCCCAGGGCTAATAATAGAGTCCACAGCTGCCTGGGGCCCCTGGGGAAGTGTGGCCTCACCCCAGCCCTGCAGCAGACTGAGCCGCTTACTGCTCTTCTCACAGAGGAGGCTTTGCAGTGGAATTGGCAGGTATGCCACCAGCTTCTAGAGTGGAGTTTCTCAGTCATGGTGCTATTATTATGTTGGACCAGACAATCCTTTATTAAGGGGGCATGGCCTGTGTGTTATGGGATTTTTAGCAGTATCTTCAGCCTCTACTCACTAGGTATCAGTAGCACTGCCACTGCCCCCACCCAGTGTGACAACTTAAAATATCTCTAGACATTGCTAATAACCCCATTGAGAACCATTTATACAGATTAAAGGGGAGGGGAAACCAAACAGCTCTAGAAAAAGGATCATTCCACAGCTGCATCGAAGTAGAATTCTATGAGAGGAGCGTCCCCCTTGTAGTTGAAGTTGACATGACTCAGTGGACAGAGTGGGCCTCTCTGCAAGTGAGGCTGGACTTTTCAGGTCTAAGACCCTCTTTGCCACATGAAACCCTCCAATCATGTCCCTAATTATAATCTTTCCCTTCCCTCCACAGTATAAGCCTGGCTTCTGAGAAATCATACCTTCTTTCTGAAGAGTGTCAAGGTTTTGCTATGAGTCATAAAAACTGGTGGTGAGGAAAACTCTCTTAAGAAGGTAGCTGAGGGGCTCAGCACCTGTGGCTCAAGTGGCTAAGGCGCCAGCCACATACACCTAAGGTGGCGGGTTCAAATCCAGCTTGGGCCTGCCAAACAACAATGATGGCTGCAACCAAAAAATAGCCGGGCATTGTGGCGGGCACCTGTGGTCCCAGCTACTTGGGAGGCTGAGGCAAGAGACTCGCTTGAGCCCAGGAGTTGGAGGTTGCTGTGAGCTGTGATGCCACAGCACTCTACCCAGGGGGACAGCTTGAGGCTCTGTCTCAAAAGAAAGAAGGTAGCTGAGGCTTGGAGTTTATAGCTCAGCAGCTAAGGGAATCAGCCACATACCAGAGCTGGTGGGTTCAAATCCAGCCCGGGCCTGCCAAACAATGATAACTACAACCAAAAAATAGCTGGGCAATTGTGTTGGATCCTTATAGTCCCAAGTACTCCAGAGGCTGAGGCAAGAGAATCACTTTAGCCCAAGAGTTGGAGGTTGCTGTGAGCTGTGATGCCACAGCCCTCTACCGAGTGTGATAGCTTAAGACTCTGTCTCAAAAAAAAAAGAAGGTGGCTGAGACCCAGACAGGAAGGTCAAGGTGGGCTGGGGCAACCTGTGAATGCAGAAGGCCGCAGCTCATGGAGGCTCAGTGGTAGGGTCAGATCTCCACTTCTGGGCTTCCAGACCCCTGGAAGTGGGCCAGGTCTCCACTCCTGGACTTGTTCTGGGTCCCTGTCATCTGGCACCATCCACTAACTCCATGAAAGCAAGTTAACATTGCTTGCTGGCAGGGGGCCTTGGTTCTTTGGCATAGAAATATCTCCCTGGGGCTGCCAAGTCCTATCGTGACATGGCAGCTGGCTTCTCCCAGAGCAAGCATCCAACAGAAAGTAAGACAGAGTGTCAATATCTTTTATAACCAAGCCTCCAATGTCATACCTCCTCATTTCCATATCCTATCTTTTCTGTTTCTTTGAGTCAAGAAAGATTTTTTTTATCTTGCTAATATATCAAGATTTTTTTTATCTTGCTAATATATCACAAAGGTTATTTGATTCTTTATGTAAATCATGAAGCATAATAGTAAAATAAACACTCATGAACCTACAACCCAACTCAAGACCTGGAAAACTGGGGCTGCTGTTGAACTTGCCATTCCCTCCCCAGCCCAGGTGAAACACTCCCATGGCTTCTGTGCCAAGTCTCTTCCCGGCTCCCAGGAACTTCTGCCCATGGAGTTTCCTAATGTGCATTCATTACTATACATAGTATAGTCTCACTGCTCACATGGGTTCTACTGGTGATGGTGCAGGATGGTGCATCTGGAACCTTCTCTCCACCCTGCACCTGTCCAATATTTCAGCCTAGGCTCAGTAGTGGGAGCTAGATTGGAAAGACACACACCAGTATTTTATTCCCAACTCTGTCTCTGCCTCCCGAAGGGGCCTTGAGCAAATCATTCTTCTCTGGGCTAAAACAACACAATAGTTCTAGTTCCTTCCTGACCTGTTGGCTATTAAAGAATGCACATGATGTTGGGCTTATGCATTACATGAGGAGTTGTTAACACCATGCTTGTGCTTGATGTAACTCCACAGAAAAGCTAATTGTTCTGTATGTTAGATTTTCCCAGAAGAAATGTCAGCAGGCAACATTCCTGGACTAACCATGTAAGCCCTTCCCGGGGGCTTTGAGTTGGAGTATTCTCAAGTTTTATGTCTCAGTCTGTACTTCTCTAGGTGTTATATAATATTGCTTTCATGTACGCCAAGAAGGAGGAATGGAAAAAGGCTGAGGAACAGTTAGCACTGGCTTCGGGAATGAAGTCTGAGCCCCGACATTCCAAAATCGACAAGGCCATGGAGAGTGTCTGGGTAAGTGCATTGGTGATCCAGGTAGGGAGAGGGTTTCATGGGATTCTGATTTGTCTTGGAGGACAGACCATCGAGAACCCATGAGAGTGGTGCTTTTTCTTTTTGTGAGTTCTGGGTAACACCAATCTTTGGGAATAGTTCCACGTAAGATCTTGAACGTGTGTGAGAAGCTGAGGTCTAGATTCCGGGGCTGCGGAGCCCCTGCATCACTCTGTCTTCCGAGTGGAGCTTCATAGGGGTGGGGGGGAGGATGCTGGAATGCTAGAGGCTGGAGCGGCACAGGGCAGCTCCTGAGCACTGAGAGGGCACAGATCACATCTGGTTGGTTACGAGTGAGTTCTTGTGGCTGGGCCCAGTGCTGGGCACATAACGGCTCTCAACGAAAATGTATTGATTATATGAATGAATGTTGAAAATTATCCGATTTGTCTGAGCATATATGGGAATGAAACTAGTTTTAAATTTGATTTTTAGAACACCTGTTACAAGAGGCTGTAAATCAAACGCTATTCATGTCAACAAACACCAATCCTCAGAGAGCACTGTCATGAGCCTTGTGTGGGTCTTGGGCCACCCTCGTGGTGGTGGTGGTGGTATGTCCTGTGCTGTGAGAGAACCCCATAGATAGCACACAGAAGTGGGGGCCAAGTTCCCCTAGGAAAAAGAGTGCTGGGAAAATGGCACCAACATGTCCACACAGCCTCTCAGCAAAAGGTGATGTGGAAACCAACTGCTCCTACATAACACCCAATAAGAAGATCAGTTCTTAGAAATTTGGAATAAGTGCTTTGATGTGATTATCTCAATGGATCCGTGTGTCAGTTCAGTGAGGGAGGCAGGACAAGCATTACCACCCCTATTTTCACATAGGGGAATACCGTAGAACCTCTATTAGGTGACCCCAGGGGACTGTAGCAAACTGAGCAACATACAGGAGTGCTCAACATAAGGAACTACGTGTGGTCCTTGTCTGGCCTGTACAAATTAGGTCAGCTTAAGGATGTGGTCAGTTATGAAGGGCCTGCTCTATTGTGTTTTCTGTGCTGCAGAAACAGAAGCTGTATGAGCCAGTGGTGATCCCCATGGGCAGGCTGTTTCGACCAAATGAGAGACAAGTGGCTCAGCTGGCCAAGAAGGATTACCTCGGCAAGGCTACGGTAGGTGGGGTCACTTGTCCTGCCCTGTGTCCTGGGCCATGTGAAGCAAGGGTATGGGACTCTGGACAAGGGGGCATCTTCCTGTGGCTGTGCCCCTGATATGGCAGTGAGAGGCTTGCTTACAGGGCAGAGGTCTGGCTGAAGGATGGGCAAATGCTTCTAGTTTATTTTTCTCCAGCCTCCTTTCATTCCTCCCTTGTAGCCTGAGGCTGGGTGAGAGCCACAGGGTTACTCACAGGATGCTGAGTCTCGGGGAATGAACTGATGGAAAGAACACACAGCTACGAGGGGCTCACTGCAAGTACAGAGAACGTGTTAGGGAAAGGGACCAGCACGGGCCCCTCATGGCCTAGGGGTGCTTGATGTTTATGTCTCAGTCTGCTGGAGAATTTCCCACCCTTTCCACAGCCCTCTCTTTACACTCCTTAAACTAGACCCCTTCTGAATCCAGGTCACAAACCTTTTCAGCCATGATCCATAGTAGGTCAGTGGTCTCCTTCCAAAACCACATTTGACCTTGGCACATTTATAGGACTGAAGTAGCCTAATGGCTGGGATGCTGGGTCTGGCTCAGTAGTAGCAGAGGTCAAGAGAGCCTCGGCTAATGGAAACCTCCCAGATATCCATCAGTGGATGAATGGATAAACAAAACGTGACGTATCCATACAGTGGACTCTTACTCAGCTATAAGAAGGGAATGAAGTATGGTTCATGCTCCAACATGGATGAACCTTGGAAACATCATGGTATGTCAAAGAAGCTGGATGCAAAAGGCCATGTGTTATATATAATTCCATTGATATGAGACATCTTGAATAGGTGAATCCACAGAGACAGAAAGACAAAATTGGTGGTTGCCAGGTTAGGGGGAGGTGAAGGGTGGACCAGCTGCTTCACGGGTGTAGTATTTTGGCAGAGAGTGATGACAAAAAAGGTTTTAGAACTAGACAGAAGTGGTGGTTGCACAGCATTGCCAAAGTATTCAATGCCACCGAATCACTCCCTTTAAAATGGTTAATCTGATGTTATACAAACTGCACCTCAGTAAAAAAAATGTTTTTTAAGAGAGAGAAAAAGCAAGCCAGGGCTAGCAGGGGTGAGGTGAACATGAGTACAGAGAACTCATATTCTTTGGTTGCTGAATCCAGCAATTTCTAATCCCAGAGCTACTGCCCTCCTCTGAAACCAGGCACAAGGAAGAATGGGCTTCTGGTGTGAGAAAGGAGGGAATCTCGGGCAAAACACAGTAGGATGGGGAAATGGCGCTGGCAGCGCCTCACGCACTCCTGTCCTTTGTTCCAGGTTGTGGCATCTGTGGTGGATCAAGACAGTTTCTCTGGGTTTGCCCCTCTGCAGCCACAGGTGAGGCCGTCCTGACCTTCATGGATCTACTTGGGGGGAATATCTGTGCTGAGCTGCCTCAGCATAAGGCTCCTTCCAATGCCCCTCATTGCAGCTGAGGCCCCTTCTCAGCCCCACGTTCCATGGTTGTTAAGGAAATAAGGCAGCGTCAACTCCTCTGAAGCAGAACCCCAGTCTTCCTGTCTCTAAGTTCTAAGAGATCTGCTAGTGATCTCTCCTGAAGCCCCAAGCCTTCTCTCAGAAAACTGAAACACAAGCTATGAAAGGCTTTTTAATAAAGCCTCCCCCTGGCCCCAGGGACTGGTGGGTGGAGGAGGCCTGTGTGGGCCTGGGCCTGAGGTGTTGGGCTTTCCCGGCTCCACCCATCTGCCATATGCTGGACTTTCCTCAGGAACACAGTCAGGATGCCTGGAGTGGGCAATTTTTAGTCCAAACTACACTTGGAGAAGGGGTCTCAGATGGACAGGATGATAGTAGTCCTAGAAATGAAGGCAGAGCTTCCCTGGGGAGGGACAAGGGCATAGCAGGAGGAGGAATATACGAGCTGTGTCACATGTGTCGGGCAGCACCAACAGAGGATAGTGTCCTGAGCATGGACACCCTCACTCCAGTCCGCACACACCCTGGTCTCTCCAGGGCAGCACCAACAGCCCAGGGGGTGCGGTGGGGTGGGTGGTGGGTGGTTCTTATTGGCCCCAAATGTGACCAGTGCTGAGGCTCTGGAGGGGGCGCTGAGCAAAGAGGAAGGAAGGACAGCCAGTGTCTAGATCCCTTAATCTATAATTTCACCATAAAGTTCAAGAAAGTCTTGCTGAGGTCCTTTGGGTTTCAGCCAGAGGACCATGAGAGGGGAAAGGAGAGGTTGGATGAGGTAATCCTAGCACTCCGGGAGGCCAAGGCAGTGGATTCCCTAAGCTCAGGAGTTGGAGACCAGCCTGAGCAAGAGTAAGGTCCTGTCTCTAAAAATAGAAAAACTAGTCAGGTGTTGTGTGGGTGCCTGTAGTCCCAGCTACTCAGGAGGCTAAGGCAAGAGGATGGCTTATGCCCAAAAGTTTGAGATTGCTGTGAGCTATGATGCCATGACACTCTGTCCAGGGCAACAGGGTGAGACTTTATCTCAACAACAATAACAACAAAAGAAAAAAAAAAGAGGGGAAAGAAGCTCCAAGAATTGGACTCTGAGACACTAGGGATAGCACGGAGAATGTGCATTGAAAGCAGTTTCTGGCCTGGTCAGTGGATCTTGAGTTGATTGTAAATACTCAGAGGCGTCATGTGATACAGCAGACATTAATTATAGAACAGAGCTTTTGGAAGCCGTCCTGAGAAAGGGACAGAGCTCAAGGTCAAAAGCACTCTGGTGCCACCGCATTGCCCTATGACAGCTACCCTTCTCCAGAGGCTGCCTCCAGTGCCAGCCGGATTGCTGGGCGGGTGAAAACCACGTCCGGGCAGCTGGTGGGAGGTGTTCTTTCTAGTGGGGAGTCAGAGTGCACAGTGCCCTCTCCCTGGACGGTGTCCCCGTTAGTTAGAAATGCGTACTTTGGCTCGGCGCCTATAGCTCAACCGGCTAAGGCGCCAGCCACGTACACCTAAGGTGGCGGGTTCGAATCCCCAGCCCGGACCCGCCAAACAA